ATTCTGCCAGGGCTCCCTACAGTGACATAGGTGTATCATGTCGATGCAGATAGCAGCAAGTGAACATTTAGGATGGCAAGCACTGACAAGAGCCTAAACAAGCTGGGTGGTGGTGGTGTATGCCTTTGATCCCAGCACTTGGAAGGCAGAGGCAGGTGAATCTCTGCGAGTTCAAAGCCAGCCTGGTCTACAGAGCTAGTTCCACAACAGACTCCAAAGCAATACAAAGAAACCCTGTCTTGAAAAACAAAACTAAAAAACCTTAAGGACTCACATGGTTTATGCAAAGATGGAATCATGTAAACATGGAGGTATAGTTATCACAAGCTTTATGCCTGTGACAATGGCAAAGAGAGCAATAATGTGGTCATTGTTTTCTTTTTTGCTAAAAAAGAGTGTGTTGGCTATAATTTGCACAGTGAACTTTAAAAATGTGTGTCCTCACAAATAATGGATGTAATTATAACTTCCCTGAGACCCTCCATCTCCCTGCAGAAACCAAGTGAACTAGAAGATGGTGTTTCCTACGATGTGCATGGGGTACCTAGTGCAACATCTGCAAAATGGGCAGCACGTAGCTGAATGGGGAGTGAGATGGACGTCTCCCACATTGCAGAGCCAAAAAGCTTCTATCTCTCCTGCTATTCCCCACAATTGCCCTGTGGAGATCTGCTTATCCACATCATGCTAAGTACTTGTGCCTTGTTAACAGAAGACTTGGAGCTGAGCTAGTTTAAAAAAAAACCACACACACACACACACACACACACACACACACACACACACACACAAACAAAAAACCTGAGGCCAATGTGATGTAATATACATATAGCAATTTCATCTTATAATGCAGAGAGTGCCTTCAGAAATTATGTAGCTGGGGCTTTTTCTAAAGATGATTTTATTAAAATCAGATGAAATCTGTTCCCTGTTGTGGGGTTCTGCTGTCTTAGAAAGCCCCACAAATATACAGGGGGTAAAATGAGGGTGCAAACAGGGGCAGAATAAGTCTTCTGAATCACAAAGAAGGCATGCTGTAGCCATAGGTTCATTGCCAGGGGGAAGCCTTGAGAATGCCAGCCTTCATTGTGGGGATCAAGAAGCAAAGAGCTTGGAGAACAGACCTCCCCTCCTGCTTCCATTGCTCTGTCAAGATGTATAAGAGTTCAATCGAATCACGTGAGCTGGCGGAGGAACTAGGAATGCCCCAGCCTTGAGTTGTGAGAGCTTCCTAATGCTTCCCACCTGCCTCTGTGGAAAATAAACTTTCCATGATCTAGCTATAGCAGAAGAGGCCAGCTCCCAGAGAGAAGGAAGCCTTAGAGTAGTAGCCCAACACCCAGAGCACTGCCATTCTTAACGTCTCCTTCTACCCACCAGCCATTCTTCCTTCCTGACCTTGCCCCATGTCATCTGTCCGGTGATCCTCTATGGACATCTATCGGTTTGTACTGCTGTCCTTCCACACGTGTCCTTACTACACACAGGCAGTATCCTGTCCTATCATTCCTGCCTATGTGTTGTCCTTGCCACATGTGTGTTCCTCTTGTTTGCTGTCAAAGTAGGGCTAGAAATGACTTGTTCTTGAGGTGGAAGGGTCAACAGCAATGGCTGGTTGAGTTGGTATACTCCAAGCTGCTGTTACAATCTCTTCCCTTTGGGAAGCGTAAACCAAGCCTACCCCTCTTCCTAAGGTCCCAATGGCAAACTGAGCTGTGAGTCCAACCAAGCTTCACTCTGGAACAAATGTGTTTACGTTTATTAGGCTTTCTTACAGGTCTTACGGTTTGATTTGACAGGTCTCCAAGAGATAAATTCAGGAATACCCCCAGAAGTAGTAAGGGTGCCTTTCATAGACATGTATGTCCATGCATCTTACACCTGTATATTTGTGTATAAACCAGGCTGTTAATGTGTAGCCAAAGTTCTTAGTCCTCGCTCTTGCTTGTACCAGCCTCCTCCTGCAGACTATTGCATAGGTAAGAAGCTGAGGTCAGCCCAGTGTGGTGGTGCATGACTCCAAATCCCAGCATTTCTGAAGTGAAGGCAGGAGGAGCACCAGTTCGAGGTGAGCCTAGGATACCTGAAATCTGCCCTCAAAATGTGTGGGGGTGGGGCAGCGCTTGGAATACAGCTCAGATATACAATGCTTGTCTCACATTTGAATCCCAGAACTACATAAAAAACCATATGGAGAGGCTCACACCAGTAAGCCCAGCTCTCAGGAGATGAGACAGAAGGGTCATCCTCATGTGTATAGGGAATTTGAGATCACCCAGAGCTAGAGACCCTGACTAGAGGGAGATAGGGAAGGAGAGGGAGAAGGACATTTAGGACCTCACCCAGTGAACATACAATTAGAATCTTCCTGATTTCTTTCCATGGCTTAGAAAAGGCTCTGGTTACAAACTGTTCTGGTCCTATCACTTGCTGAGTGAGCAAGTTCCCCTATTCTCTATGCCCTGGTTTCCTGACTGTCTGCATAAATGGCACTAGGAGCTTACAAGGGAGTTGTATAAAGTGCTTGGGATGGTAAGTGGCGCCTGGCAGTGACTCACTGGGTGTTCGCCTTGGTGGTTATCGTTTCCACTTTTTCTCAGGTTCCTCAGAACCTAAGGCTTGGCTTAAACACTCTAACAGCCAGAGGGGGTCGGTCGATGGAGCTCGTACTGAGCTGGCTTCAAGCCTTTATCCAGCAGCATAGAAAAGCCTTGCACTTGGCTTGGCTGATCATATGCCATAAAGGAGTTTCTCTTCTTATATGTGGCACCTGGGCCTAGCTCAGCTCCCAGGTTAATGCTTAGTCATCCTCCTTTCCTCCTTCCCTCCCTGCCGTCCCCCTCTACACCCCCACCCCACCCCACCCCAGTCGCTTTCTTTTTGGATTTCTGAGACTGGGTTTCTCTGTATAGCCTTGGCTGTTCTGGAACTTACTCTGTAGATCAGGCGAACTCACAGAGATGGCCTGCCTGCCTCTCCCTCCTCCCCCACCCCCCGCTCCGCTCCGCCCCATGCTGGGGTTAAAGGTATTTGTCCTCTCTCTTGTCCTCACTTTCTTTCACCAGGCCATATGGGTGTGTTGGGGAGGGGATTGTGAATACAGAAAAAAAAAAAAAAAAATCCCACACTCTAGGGGCCTTCATCGAAGTTCTACGCGCCTACGTTTTATTGCGCACTTTATGCAAACGTGTTTCTCCTGCACTTCGGTCCAGGGGCCATGTGCCAGAAACTCTAACTGCCTCACCAAGACGGAGCCAGTCCCTAGGGCAAGGTGAGGCCAGACAGACAGCACACAGAGGGCGGGACTCAGCGAGGGGCGTGGCCTTCCTCTGATTCCACGGGGCTCCTCCTATCCCCCCGGGACACCCTGACTCAGGAAAGAGAAGCCTTTGTCTTGGTGGGGTGATACTTGCCCCCGCCCCATCTCATCACAACCCCCAAAAAAGCCCTGCACGGGAAAGGTTCTGCTGTCTTCATTTATTCCCCGTTTCCATTGTTTTGCTTTTACTTGTACTGGATAGCCATACCCCACTTAGGTTCTGTTGGATAAAGACGCAGAGGTGCTTTTTTTGTTCGTTGCTGAAAGAGTAGCTGGGTCCCGGGTGGGAGAGGCAGTTCAGGTCCGCCTGGGATGAGCCAGTCTTTTGAAGTTGTCTCCTGGACTAGATTTCTTCTTCCTTCTCCTCCCCTTCCCATTTGCTTTATTGGGTATTGAGTGACTGGGAACTACCAATGTGGATACTGGGGGATGGGGTGCTTGTTTTCTGTTTCTTCCTCCAGCCTTCCCCCCAGCCCAGCCCAACAAACCCCTGCTAAGCTGTGAGGTATTAGAACAGGTCCACAGTTTCAAGATTAGAAGAGGCAAGGATTTTCAGTAAGCGTTTATTTAAGGGACAAGAAGAGTGTGCCTGGAGCGGCCCAGGAGAGAACTCCCCAGTGTCCCCAGGTAGCACATTCCGGAGAGTGACTACGTTGGGGAGGAAAGCTGGCCGGGAGCCACAGGTACACACAGCAATTCAGCTGCCTGATGGGGGTTGTTCACTGCGCTGGACACAAGATGCCACAGGCCTTAACCGGCAAGCACGGTTCCTCATAGTTGCCACTCAGGTGCCAGCTGAGTCGTGCCATTAGCCTCTCTTTCCTGTTGGAAAAGCTGAAGTAACCATGACTTGTCCAGGGTCACACACCAAGCCTGGGACCAAAATAACCCTGACTCCTCCTCTGCGGTTCTCCCGCAGACAACATCCCCTTAGTAAGGCGCTATCATTTTAACCTGAATCATTTAAAGTGCTCCTAATTGCAGGGCTATGGTGAACTCTAACCACCATGTGACAAGCAGACAGGGCTAGGAATGACTGAAGTTTTACCAATGCCTAGAATATACTATTGCAATGCTGGGAGAGGGGGGAGGGTATACAGAAAAGGATGCAGAAGTACTCCGGTTTTGTTTTGTTTTTAATAATATTGCAACAGAAACACACACACACAGACACACACACAAACACACACTAGGGTCTCAAATGGATGCGATTCACAAAAGCACTTGAGGGACAAATCACAGATATTGCAAATCTTCACAACCTTATCTTTTTTTTTTTTTTTTTTTTTTTTTTTTTTTTTTTTTGCGCGCACACACACACACACACACACACAAACAAATAATAATAAAGTAAAACTTCCCTTTTGCTTCTGATGTTGGCAGCTGTGTGGGCTTGGGAGGGCCTTGGAAACAAGCACGTAATGTCGGCCTGGGAAACAATCAGGCATATGCATTCGGATCTGTACACGGGGCTGGACACGTGCTATGCTCAGGAAAGAAAGTAAATTCCTTTCAGCAAATTGCTCTAACTGATTCATTTGTCCTCTGAGAGACGCCACCTACCTGCTCCCAGGTATTCAGGTAATTGACAGGGGTGGGGGCGGGGCCTCCTGGCATGTTTTAGTCCCTCAGGTCTTGGCCAGACTTCCGTGATGTCACACATTTCCTGCTCAGGAGCCAACCAATGCCCTCCTTCTTCCTTTAGCCACCTGTACACCGAAGTTGAGACTGGTCACAGCTCAGGCGGCCCTGGAAGCTTCTACCAGAAGGGATGAATATTGGCTGGCTACTGCTGCTTTGAAGGCCCTAAACACCTTTGAACAGGTGAGCAGCAACTCCATTCTCTTCCTCTCTTGGCCTTTAGATCACTGACCTTTAAGGTGTCTGAACAAGGAATTTGAATAAAAAGGCTCATTGAATGGCTCAACCCAGACTCTTGAGAGTGGAGGATGTCTGTGCCGGTCTTCCTCTGGGGCTCTTAGCCTTGCCTCTGGACAGATATTTAATCATTATTGTTTCCTAACTATTAATCTAGCTTCTGCTTGTCGGTGAAGTTGGTCTGATTCTCTTTAAAACCCCGGAGAAAAGGAAGGTGAGATGGTTTTTGAAACTTCATTCAAATGTGAAGACCAGTTCAGCCTGTTTTGTGGGGGGCTAGGGACACTCACAAAATTTAGATTCTTTTTTTTTTTTTTTCCATTGCTTTCTGCACTCACCTCATCAGAAGCAATTTTGATTGCTTCTATAATACTTTCCTAGGTTACTTTGTATTGTTTACAATAGAAAGTCCTGAAGCTGGTAAATTCCGATTCCTTATTATAAGCCTTATTTTTTTTTTTTTCTTAACTTAAAAAACAAAACAAAACAAAATCCTTGCAGTTTCCTTTGCGTGTAGAAAACATTTAGCAGTCTGGATTAGAACTGTTTACCTTCAGGCCAGATAAGCTACCTGCTGACCTTTGGTAAAGTTACTCCTCCAAGGCCACAAGAATGTTAACACCAGGGCTGGAGCTTACATTGTTGAAACTTTTGTTGTTTGCATCTTGCTTTTAATATAATATATGGAGGTGGTTGCTCTGCTAGGACCTGATATTTAAAGTAATTTTATCTCAAGGACCCATTTTTGTTTTCTTAATCCAGATCACGTAACTCTCTCCACAGCTCTAAGGGCCACACTCCACCAGGTACTATTACTAACAAGAGCAGAGGAACCATTTCCTAATCCATCTTCTTACTGAATTAGCTGGGAAACTCCAGGAGAGCAATAAAGAAGTGGGACCTTTCGTTTCATAGGCCTACATTAGTAGCTTTCCCAGAGTTAAGTTAGCAAATGGTTTGTAGAAATTAGAAGAACATGTCAATTTTCCAAGAGTATAAACTGAAACAATTAAGCTGCTTCTTACTGCTAATAATCGGTGTTGTTCTTGTTGCCAGTTTCTCTCTGACTCCTTCTCTCCTGACCTCTGTGCCTATTACTGTTCTCTAAGGTCATATGTTTGCAGAGTGGCTACTGTTCATGCCTACAGATTCCTCAGTGAATTTAGGTTTGTGAGCAGAGTGAGAAAGGATTTCCCCATGGCCTGGATTTTTTAGGTATCAATTTGTCTTTGATGCCCCAAACCTCTATAGATTTTCATCCCCTCTGGTGGTTCATCTGACTGATAAGTTATTTTTACAACAATGGATTTATGATTAATCAAATCATTTCACCATTGTCTGACTGCTTAGTATATAATGCTGTATATATTATTGCCCATGAAATAAGGGGAAAAATAAGACAGGAACCAGAGTCAGAATATCCAGTTTACATGTGTGTTCCCTGAGAAGTTCCATGTCAACTCCATTGGTTCAGGTGTATACAAAGTGTGATGGGAAATTGTACATCCTTTAACAAATTGTAATTCTCTGAATTTCTCTGGATCTCTGTTTCTTCCTCAGGAGAATGAAAGGTAAGTACCATGTGCTATAATGTGGTTCTGAGTGCATGTAGAGCTTTGAAGTTAGCAGTGCCTGGTACTGAGCCATGAGTAAAGAGAAGCCAGGTCTGCCTCTGCTGGAGGAATTTCCCTGGGAGCTTTAGGGGACTTGTGTGAACCTATGTAGCTCTCCTGCAGCTGCAATTGTTGGGAACACTGCTCTTATTACTGTAATTAATTGTCAGTAATTAACCCCATTGTTAACAGTTCGGAGAAATGCAACAGTCTGAAGGAAAGAGAATTGAATGAGCTGTCATTCACTGAGCCAGGCAGCGTGTATCCACCAGCCCCCTTGGCAAAGTGAATTCTGGAGTGGTCACTATCCCTTCCTTTCCCCAGCTCAAGGCTCTCTGGAGACATCTACAAACTGAGTTCCTTGTAGGCTTTTGAAAGAGGTCCCATTGTCATTTGGCAAGGAGTCTGGACTGTTTTCAATCATGCTACCACCCATCAACCATCACCCTGAGTGGTCGTGGGTACTTGGTCTCCTCTAATCTTGTAGGTAATCATCCTCCACTTATGACTCGATGAGCACTTAGCAGGTTAGTGTGACAGAAGACAGATAATTTGCATTCTGTATTGGGGGAGGCTTGTGAATCTTTTGACTAGGATCACCCCCTTAAGTAGAATATGCTGTGCCCTTCAATGACCTTGAATCATTGCATCAGAGTAGATGTGTCCCCAGGCTCCCAGGCAGCTTCTTCTGGTCCTAGGTTCTTTCCAAAGTGTAACACGTATTTCTGCCATTCAAGAACAAGCATCCAGGGAACTATGGATTCTAACATCTAGTCTACTACAGATTGCTGAAGGGGGACTCTAAGGAAGAGCCTCAAGCTCCTTGCCCATCACTTTCATTGCCCCCCACCGAGGATAACCTCCCCACATCCTATAATAGAAGCTAGAGAGACTCTTTGCCTAAATCTAGCTTTCAGGGTAATGGAGAGCAGGGGTAGGCAATGCCTCACCGGGCATGATGATCTTATTTAATGCCAGGTCAGGTGGTGCTGCCATCCTACAGCAGAGAACTGGTCTTCGGCATCAGACTGCCTGGGACCAAAGTCCATTTCTACCATGTGCTTTCTTTATACCCTGAGAAGGTTTTTAAAACCTGTTTGGAAAGGCTCTGGCACCATGTTAACCTAGTACCCATGTGATTTTCTTGATAAGAAGACATGGTATTAGGGATCAGATAGAGCTGGTTCTGTCAACACTATTACTAGCCTACACGAAGCACTTAATATCTTTCCCTCAGTCTGATCACCTGGAAAGTGGGATACTTAGCTGCCCAGGATGCCTGTGATATACAGTGGCAGTGGTCATGTGTGAAGTGTCTGGCACATGCTAGATGCTCAGTTTAAGCATGATAATATTCCAGGACACACATGCTACATCAACTATAGTCAGATATCTTGGCTCATGACATGGAAACAGCCCCTGGCCAGACAGGACATATTCCTGGAAAGGCCCCTATAGACTTAGAAGAAAGCCTGTTAACCAAGACTATGTTGTTATCTTGTCATTCTGGGGTAGAGTAGCTGTCAGAGCGATGTCTGGTTTTTTACAGAGCAGCAGGTGTAGGAATCGGGTGATTCAGGCATCTTCATGCAGCATGAACTCATGGTTGCACCTCTGGCATCCCCTCTGCTGTTATTAGAATCCTGCACACCTAAGGTGGAGTCATGATCATCTGCTTGGCTCAGGGCTACAGAGGCTCACTAATGGCTCCTCCCCACCTTGGTATCTCTGGACTTCCTGGCAACATGGAACTATTCTTGATATTTATGTGCCAGCATTACAGACTCACTTTTATGTGGGTGGCAAATTGACTGTCCTCTGACAGTGTCTCCAAACAATCAAAAGCCTTCCGAAACTATTTGAAGGAGACCGTGTGTCATTCTTCCTGGGTGATTTAGATTTTAAGCAGGTACTGTCTCCAAAGGACAAGGATTGGTATGAAAACCATGAAAGTTGCTAAGTACAGAGACCTACAGGCTGAGGTCAGGGTCATAGGATGTTAGCTATCTCCTCTAACTTCCCACCTCTGTCATTCCCTCCTTATTCTGTGTCCTATGGCACAAGGACACCATAGTGACCAATTGCTTAGCAACATAGATACATACTTAAAGGGAGAAAGGAATTCCTATGAACTGGTGTTTTCAAAATGCAATAGGTTTCCTGGTGGTGTGCTGAGTATATTTTCACTGAAAGTGATCACTATTTGACATATTTAACACCTAGAATGTTTGGTGGCTGGGTTGACAGACAGATGAATGTGTGGATGATGAGTGAATGAATGTCTGGATGGATGAGGGATATATATATATATATGATTAATAGATAGCTGTGTGGATGGCTGGGTGAATAGACGGATAGACGGTTGATAACAGTTGTATGTATGTGCTGTATATATGTATGACCAAAGTTTATTTGTGTTTCTTTGTCTGAGACACCTTCACATATAGCATGGAAATACATATTGTATAGTCAATTATTTTAAAGACTGCATGAGAAAAATGCATCTCCCCTAATCTGTAGAAACTTGTTTATTGAAAGTAGTAACAAGTTAAAATGTTATATCATCAAATAGAAAAAGGCAAAGGTGTTCCCACTTCAGACAGGGTGGATGAGTTGACTCCCAAATTAGAGATATGCAGATTTTAGATTTATTTTTCTTATTCCTCTTTGCCTCTTCTATCCCTCTTTAATGATTAATTCCCCCTCTTCTTCCCTGCCCAGGGAGCCATGTTCCCTGTCATTTTTTATGGTTTGACTAGTACACTTCAAAGTTCCATCCTAATTAGCCAGGAAGGCTTTCTTGTTATTTTTTTTTTTTTTTTACATCAAGAATTTTAGTTTGGAACATGTATACTTGAACACCACCATTATTTCCCAGTGACTTGAATTTGTTTCTTGTGTTTGATGCATTTGTCACAGGGACATGGGACTTTGCCAGGAGTGGAGTTGAAGCTCTCTAGGAATCCCTTTAATAGCTTCTTGGCACACAGCATGGCAACAGCATATGCATGATGGGAGGTTGAAATATGCCATTGCTATCTGTTGAGATGATTTGTATAACTTACTTGTGACTAAAGTCTGTTAGTCACATGACCTCTTTTGAATAGAACGCTGCATGCTTAGGCTCATGCATCCTCACATTAACACATGAGTCACCTTGTGTTTTCAAACTCCTCGTTAAGTATTATGGTCATACTTGTATGACATCTTCCACAGTGTGCACACACTCAGCCATTCCATCTGTGGCCCCTGGAGGCCCTTGTAAATTGGTTTCTCAGTCACCTCTAAAGACATCTGCATTACAACTTATTAGTGAGCCAAAAGGAAACAATT